TTTTTACTTGAGTTTTGAATTTGAATCAAGGAGGGAATGTTGTCCTTATCCAGATTTCAAAAGAAGGACACATGGAGTACGATGGAAAGTTGAAGGCATAATGAGTGCCATTTATCTTCTTTTAAGAGAAAAGTCGTTATAGGCAATTATTTTGATTCAATATAAATAGGAAGTCCTAGTGTTAAAAATTTGGTGTGTATTCAAGTTTATACAAAATCACTCAAATACTCAAAGTACTCGTGTGTAGAGAAACGAGTTTGTTGAGAACGTGTATGTTTGATAAACACCGGTTATTTGATTACATTTTAATAAAAGTTAGTTTATCTTTTTGCCCAGAAATTGGTCTTAATTTTTATGCAAGTTACTTTCTACTTATTTTATTGCGCTTTCGATCTTTCTTTTGTCATAATATTTTTTATTTCATTGAAGCAAACTATTTCCTAAACATGAATGTTGTCGAAGCATCCATTATTTCTCAAACAATAAAATAAAATTACTAAGCACATGTCCTAGGATTCACTGGTTGATCTTACACGTTAACCAATATTTGGAGAACAACGCTTGTTTACCAATTTTCACGGTAAACAGAAAAATGGTGGTTTGGGCCACGTGTGGTGGAAGGAGTGGTTAGAGAGGTGGTTATCGGCAGAGGAAGTTTATGGGGCGATGATAATGGTTGATTTCACAGTGAGGTTTAAGAGTCGGAGAAAAGGTGCCTAAAGGTGAAGGGAATAATTAAAGGAGAATATGAGAGAGAAAAAACAAATGGAAAAACCCCTTCTAGGTTTCAATCCTTGGAAAGATAACCTTTCCTTTTGATATTTTATGGTTTTTTTTAAAAAAAATCAAAAGAGGGGTGTCTCAAATCCGCCGTGTGTAGCTCTTGGGTTTGTGGTCACTCCCTGTTTTTCCTAACAATTTATATATATATATATATATATATATATATATATATATATATATATATATATATATATATATATATATATATATATATATATATATATATATATATATATATATATATATATATATATATATATATATATATATATATATATATATATAAGTTAGGGTTTAAAATTTTAATTAATGACAAAAAGACCCTTTTAGATAAGTTATGAGTTTAAAATGAATTTAAAATTTAAATCAAATAAAATTAAATATTTTTTAAGGATTAAATATATAACACCCCTTCTAATGTTAGTGAGTTTCGGTTTATCTCCAGTAAAAGAATTTTTTTTTATTCCCCCTGTAATGTCAAGGTTCCCTCACTATGTATCATTTAATTTATTTATTTTTATTACTTTTTAAAATCTACATCAGCAAATAAAAAATAATTTTAAAAAATTCCACGTGACATTTAAAAAATAATAATTTTAATTAATTATATTTTTTTTATAAAAAATCTAACTTTTTTATTACAAGGGGATAAATCAAAAAGCGTTCATATTACAGGGGTTAAAATATATTTTTGCTATTTTTAATGTTTTTTCAATTTTTATTATTTTAGTATTCACAAAACACTTGTAGCATCAAAATAAGAGATCAACGAAAAAAGCGTTGGTATGCTGCATATGAAATACTTTGCCGCCGATGCACTCCATTGGTTAGTATCATTTTGAAAGCTTTAATAAATAAATACAAGTAGCCATTTGAAAAAAGTTCACATTAAGACCCATTAAATCGAAGGACTACTTTTAGATTAACTAACAGAATAACTGTTTTAATATAATGCTTAGTTACAATAATAACATTTTCCCATACATCACTTAGAGCTTCAAATTTTAACTAAACTCTATGCACTAATCATCATTCCGATGAAACATCTTTTATCCCTCTTTCATTGCACAAGTCAACTAATATCTTACATGCATGACTAATGCACAAAAAAGTTTATACTGATTTGGATACATTACACATAAAATTCAAACTATCATGAAAAAAATTATTCAAACCTAACATACTACTTATGGCCTAATAGGAACAAAGCAATAAGCAATAAGGACAAGGCCATATATGTGCAGAGTGGAAGACTACATACAAAATAGGGGATGTCAAAAATTCAGTTTGATCCAATTCAATCACGTTTATTTGATAAACTCAACCGTTCTTATTTGTAAGGAAAAAAGAGCTTTGTAACTCAATCACACCCGATGATTAATGTGAAAATATGTTATTTCCAAATATAACAGATATCGCTCATACATGAATATAAAGGGATAGAAGATAGAATAAGTCCATAGCTACCACGAGATACTAGATTACTTCTTACTACATGAATATCACAATACTTGAGCAAACTTGCAATATTAAATTCTCTCTTTAATTATCAAAGTTTTTTCCATTGATCTCTAATTTTTCATTTTGATGTTACAAGTGTTGTGTGAATACTAAAATGATAACAATTGAAAAAACATTAAAAACAACAAAAATATATTTTACCCCCTATAATATGAGCGATTTTTTATTTACCCCCATTTGTGTTTGAGTAGGCGTGTCTATGGTAACCAAAATAGTATGAAACCTCGTTGTCGAAACTCTTTGAGTGGTCAAAATATTCGTTACATCGCCCAGGAGAGGGGTAACCTATAGAGTTCTCCTCATTTTTTGTATTTTTCTCACATTCCATCTTATTTATAGGGAAAAAAATATAAGTTACAGATAAAATCTTCAAAAAAAATATTAGTAAAAGAGAATATTCCTCATTTTCTCCCCGAAAATGACATTCCTTGCCTTTTTGAGTCGGTTTCCACGAGAAGACATGTTTCTATGAACCGATTTAATTGATTCTTCGATCGCACATCAAGAGGGGTAACACCCCCGACATAACCTAGAGCTTCAAAGAAGGACACTGCCTGCATATTCAGGAAAATGTCTTCTTGAGTCAGAGCGTCCATCCTATAAACATGGGTCTCTGATTATGACAATAAGTGGTTTTGCTGCCAGAACTTGGAGAATATGTTTGAACATTGGTAAGATGGTCTAAATTTTATTGAGAAAATTTTAGTGTGAGTTTCTTCATTGAGAGATGTGACTAGGAAAAATCGATCCACGAATTTCATCATAGTAACTAAAACATAAAACATCCTGATACAATGCAGAAGAGATATCAAGTCTCGACCCTTTGAAGAACTAGTTGAGCTACACTGAACTTTTAAAAGGTGGAAGGAGAAAGTCAGAGTTGGCACACTCTTAATATATTCGCACCAATATTAAAAGACATTAATGTAAGTCCAACTCATCGTGTTCAACTATGAAAGGGAAATTAGTAAGTGATTAAGAAAGTCAACCTTGAAATTATTGAAAGGGGGACGGAAACCTATCAAGGAAAACATACATTCATGAAGAGAAATAGGGAATTCATCATACTTTCTACACACCCTCTTATCTTTCTCAAGGATAAGTACTTCCTAGTGACGGAGGTCTCACCTCAATGAAAGCCCAATCCAAACCGCTATCAGAGACAAAAGTAGATGTATTGTCCAATGTCACTTGATCCATCCAAATTGATGAATTGTTCCTTTTTTCCTTACAAAACACAGTAGATGGATTTTTCATTTTGAAGAATATTGTCAACACAAAATAAACAAGTATGAAACATGACACTCTGATCAAACATGTTAGTAACAGAAGTTCAAACAGCAGAAACACCTGAAATCTACTTTCAAAGAACCATAACAAATGAGAAGGAGAAGGCAAGAAGAAAGATATAAACTTTACCTTAAAGGAAATTGTGTGATAGTCTAAGCGTCTCAGAAACCACCAAACAAGAATCACATATGAACCTAATCAAAAAATCAATGCAGAAGAGATTATAAGAATGACGGTAGTTTGCGAGAAGAAGAAGAAGAGCCTTTGTAGTTCGTAGATGGAAAAACGGGGAAAGAATTACTTCGGGAACCCTTTATTGATGTCTTTGCCACAAAGAACACTTCGATCCACTACCTTGGGTAATGGAAACGCACTATCAATGGTTGATATTTTATTGAATATTGTTCAAAGTACTCAAGTATCATGGGATAAAGGAAGTGCCATTAATGACAACCAGAGGTACATGCGGCAAAGACTCTTTAGGAAATGTTACCTATTAAAAGAAAGTAATTTAATGTGTCTGCACCCAATGACAGTGACGTCCCATCAGGGTTCTTCATCTACTTATACCAAGCAATCAGGCAAGGGTGTACACAACAAATCCTTGTCCTGCAAAGCAAGGACAACGGACGTAGAGGAAAACTGTTTTGGATCATTCACAAGTCTCAAGAGCACCAGAAATTTGAAAAGCGCGAGAGCATGCGAACCCCCATTCTTTCAAGAACAGACAATTCCACCTTCCAAAAACATCTACCACCAGAAACTTGAAAAGCGCGAGAGCAGGCGAACTCCCATTTTTAACCGTTCTCACTATGGAAAAGTGTGTTATTTCAAGTGTACAACTTAATTCTCGCTCTTACATTGCTTCTCATTTTTTCACTAACTTGAACGTTGGAGTGTTAATCTTGCCGATTAAGATTCTACAATATTATATGAGAGGTAGCCTGGCTAGACCTCAATAAAAATATACTATTGTAAATTTTTCTTATAGCTTACCAAAGAAAAGAGCAAACACTCAATATAAACAACAAAAACTAAAATCATTGAAAAAACTGATTATGGAACAACCATTCATCAAGGTCACACAAGAAAACAAGAATAATGTTTAATATGTAAAGATACTACATTGTTAAAACCAAAACTTGTCAAGAGAATCCCCCAATCACCCATTTGAATAAGTTCTAAAATCTCAAAACATGATTAAATATTGACATGAAACATATCACGTTTCAAATTTGATTTTAAACGCTGAAATACTTCATATTAATGTTTCGAATCTATTTCCATGAAAAAGAACATGAGAACGAGAAGTAGTAAGTAATAAGATCTCATTTTCAATACATAGAGTACATTTACATATCACAAATCCAAACTTCTTCGCAATAAACCTCCTCCGCCACATTCCGTCAAAGTGGACGGTAGGGGACATGGCCTAAATCCGTCAAGTTAGTCACAAGATCATGGCACCTTGTCAAAAGGCACATCATTTTCTTTGATATGTTAACGGTAGTTCTGGTAGCAGACACATCTGTGTTTATAAAATTGGTAGTATTTCTCGATGCCGTATCGATCTTATGCAGATAATGTGGTGTATTTTTAGCAAACTTAGAAGGGGATGGAAGAATAGGCAAAGATGGTTGAGAATTGACCTTTTGAACGTTCTTAGTGTTAAATTCCATAGCAACACTAGAATGTGAACAACCATCAACTGATTGCTCCGCCGTGCTACTTTCTTCGCAAGCTAACATGAATTTTACACGTTGCGGCTCTTTACCACTGTGTCGTTTACCAGTTCCTCGGCCTAACTTATTACCAGTAGGTTTCTTCAGGATGGATTTGAGCTGGTTTATTGGCTGTGAAAGAGGTTGTGGTGCAGGATCCTTAATGTGCTTTGTTTCATCGTCTTCACTAGACTTGGCAACTTCAGAGATATTATGCGAGGTACGTTCCAATTCCCTGAGGAAATACCTCACACCAGCAACGCCAAATAAGGATTGATTTGCTACAGAAAATTCATATGCTGCTTCAGCATTGTCCTTATGCATGAAAACAACTCGACAAGCTGACAAATTTGAAAAGACACGGAGACTTGATTTGTGTATACGCCCAAAACGACCATACCTTGCCTTCAACTCTGCAATAGATGGAAGTGGTGCCATGAGAGGAAAATAGATGGCCAGCTCTGTCGGTTCAAACCGCTCAGTTAGCTGCTTAACTTCCCCAGTCGAGTTTGGTTTAACAATATCAGGTGGAACCTGAGTGGTTGCCTTCTTCTCTGCATCCGGTGCCTTTAACCCCTTGATATTCTTCAATCTCTTCGCGTTAATTTCTTCTCCGGGGTCAGGGAGAGTCCTTTTTCGCGCAACTTTGCTTGAATCATCAGGCTGAATAATTTGATCTACAGGCTTAACAACCGGTGAAGCACTAGCATGATCATTAGTAGCATGAACTTCAGGAACTGCATTCTTTGTTGGTGGTGACGACAAAACCAAACTTTTCTGGTAAGCATGAGATCTGAACCGCAAAAAGAACTTGATAACAAATGAAGGCGTTCTTCCATTAATACCATGAAAATGATCTAAAGCAATCGCTTTCAATTCATGAAGCAGCGGCTTACTAGCCGAAACATCCACCGTGCTTGAAGGATGCGCAGATTTCTCAGAAGTTGAAGACTTCTCCACATGGTCTAATGTAGGTTGTAAATTTGAACTCTTTCTTTTTTTTATAACAGCAGAAGTCTCAGAATTCAAATCATCTGCACATCGCTTTTGAATATTTATCTTCTTCGGCACACGTTGTGCATCAAAACAAGTTTTGCTTTGTAGATGGATACGATGAGATGTCTCATCAATTAAGCTCGGCAATGCCATAACCACAATCCTTTTATTAGCAACAGCAACAGGTTCAAATCTTTTTGTTTTTTCTTTTGAAGATTCTTTTCCCTTCTCGTGTAGATTATGATTTGCATCTAAAGTAATTTTTTCTGATACAAAACCACTGTCATTTGTTTGAATCTTATCTTCAAAATCTACTTTGGATTCTATAGCTGAAGCTGCAGAACCTGCATCTGGTATCTCTTCCTTCCCAAAAGCCAATTGGTAAGAGTCACTGGCTTCATCTTTAACAGATATTGAAGTGTTCTCAGCACACAAAGTTTCTGTCTCCGCCACTGAATGATTCGAAGAAACTGGAGAACAATGCAAAATGACCATAATCATCAGAAGAGAAAAAAAAGGAATTATTGAAATAATTGGATTGATTAATATACATGTTTCTAAACTATTTCTCAAGTTCATATTCATAGGTGTCACTTCTATATTTAATTTAAGAGTTCTGTATGAACATGTAAAATTATTAATTTTTTAATTTCAACTTTAATTTTTTTGGGAACACTAAAATGCTAATAAGTTTCTTTGAACCTTCTTCAAAATTGTTACAAATTTTGTTTTAAATAGCTAAATTTATAATTTTAAATGCAATTAATTTCAAATTTTTAATTAAAAAATTACTTCAAATACAATGTTTAAAAGATACTTGAAATGTAATTGAAGACTATCTTTAATATTATTTATTTAAATTTTTTATCTTTAATTCAAAACAATTCATTTCTAATTCATTATTATAAATATAAATCAATTATGAATTTTAATATATCTATATTACATCTAACTTAGTAATTAATGGTAAGCTTCTATATGATATAATACACATCCAAATTTATTATATGAAAGTTAAATTTAATTTTATTAATATTTTAAAATTTTAATTCATGCTTCGTATTCCAAGATTAAAAAAAAAAATCTTTTATATAAAGAAACGTGAATTCTATCTAACCACCACAATTTATTTTTAATAGGTGAGTTTTTCATTTGTTTTGTTACAATATTTTTATCATAGTTAAGTTCACATTTTAAATAATATTCTACAAAAAGTTATTAAAAATTATTTTTGAATTCAGAAGAAAAATAGTTTTTTAATCAAGTTTTAGATAAGTAAAGAATTTAATTTTAATTTTTTTTAAATTATGATAAATATTTTTAATTTAATATACTTATGGCCTATTAAATATAATTATAAATTTAAGTTTGAATTAATATTTGTGTATTGTATCCAACGTATTTTTACTGCTTGTTCAATACAATATATAATATATTTTAAAAAATTCCATGTTGGGTTTTGTTTTAATTAAATATTAAAATAATGTGAAAGCGAGCTAGGGTTTTAAATACGGGAGACAAAAGTATGTACGAGAGACTTTGAAAACGTCTTTCCTAGATTTTCGGGATGAAGACAGTTCGGGAGAAAAAGAAATTGAATAAAATCATGAAGAAACCAAAGAAGGGTGAATGAATTTGATATGGTATACACCGGAGTGTAAAAGTTAGGTTAGATCTTCAACCAAAAAATTCCAACTAACTAAAGTATTAGGTTACATATGGCAATTTCTTTACCATTCTTTCATATCAAATGAAAAATTAAAAATATTTCAAATTTTCGAAGATAAATTTTTGAATGTTCTGTTTTTTTATCTTTTTAAAATTTAATTTGGAAGTATATTTTCATATTTATTTTAAGATTTATTTGTCGATAAATTTCTGAAATAATTCTTAATTTCAAATCCAATAAAAAATACAGAGATAAATTTTCAATATATATATATATATATATATATATATATATATATATATATATATATATATATATATATATATATATATATATATATATATATATATATATATATATATATATATATATATATATATATATATATATATATATATATATATATATATATATATATATATATATATATATATATATATATATATATATATATATATATATATATATATATCACATCAGAATCTCCCTCTTCACCTTTATTTTTTAACACTTTTTTATCCTTAATTACAATGGAGCTCGTAGAAACATACTTCCGGTCCATTTTTCGAGTTTCTTCAAGGATTTCAAACTCAACTCTATTTATTCATCCTCAATATTTTTTTGAGTAAGTTTTTCATTTAAATTATTTTGATTTTTTATTAATATATTAGGTAAAATAGCTTGTTATAAATGCATTATGTAAAAGTCAAATTCGTAATAGATAGTTTAAAGAGACATGCACTATGATATGATTGCATTTTAGGTTGTTAGGACAAGACTGATATCAATATCTGTCGTTGATGCTAACACGAGCTTTTTCGAAGATACATCTCCGAATTTAGGGTTTACTGGTTTTCGGAGATGCATATTTGAAACTTTTCTAAATGCTAAGTGATGTCTTTTTCTCGTATTATTTCAGGAAAAATGACAAACAACGACGACAAACTGCGACTCGGCCGTGAGACCCAGCACACGTAAGTTCGACGTTAGAAGGCTAGGCTTTAGAATGAGCGTGCAAGAGTTAGGCGGAGAATCGTCCCTAGGCCTCATGAGGTAGAAGCGTCGACTTCTAGGAGTCGTTTGTCACATGGGTCCTCGTCCCAGGGGCACATATCCCCTGATCACGTAGACCGAGAGGAAGCTCTTGTTGCTGCACATGATGTTGTTCCTCCCCTTGCAGACACTTTTTTAAGAGGGCCCTCTGACACCTCTTTGCTGATAGACTATAACAATCATGATGTCGGGTATATCTAGGCTAGAGAAGTATTTTTGTTAACAATTGTTATTTATATGTTTTAAAAAGTTGCCTCGCGACTGATATTTTGTATTTTTTATGTTTTAACTAGAGCACGATTATTTGAAGTCTATTAACCACAACAAAAAGATTCTAAAACTTTATCACCCTAAGGGTCATTGGTTCCAAAGTATCCTCCAGTACTTTGGGCTTGCAAACCAGTGTTGCTCCGGGTACAAGACCATTAGTCATGGCATGGAGGGGGATTTTGTTGAGAGATGGCATAAGGAAACTCATATTTCCACTTCCCCATTGGCAAAATGACGATCACATTGAATGATGTTGTTTGTCTTCAACACCTTCCCATCAGAGGGAGGTCACTTGATCATTCCATGATCAAATGTGATGAAACCCAAGAGTTGATGGTCATTTATTTGGGAGTTGACCCAATGGATGCTCTGATGCAGTGTGAAAGCACTAGAGGTGCACGTGACAAATTTTCTTACTTGGAAAAGCTTTATGAAGAAAACTTGGAGTTGGCCAAGAATGCCGACGATGATGATCTATAGGTTACATACTACAGGGAGTGTAATTTGAGGTGTTTTCTCTTATTCTTGGTTGGCATGTCCATTTTGTGGACAAAAGTGCAACCTACGTCGATATGGCATACATAAAGTATTTCATCGACTTGTCGGCCATTCACGAGTGGAACTGCGTGGCGCCTGCTTGGATACCCGTACTCCAAGCTGAGTGAAGGTTCTCTTTGGACGACAAAGCAAATGACAGGCTCCTGTACCCTGCTAACGGCAATCTCCATAGCCAATACTAATATTAAAACCATTTTTTTACATTTGATACTAATACTTTTTCTTATTCATTTTCAGGGATGAATCTTATCTCACTTTCACCTCATTCACGGGGTTAATCGTGTGCTAGACTTTATTGAGGATTTGCCATGTGTTTGCTTATATTGCTCGCGCAAAAGGAATGGTGTTGTGCAGTCATTCTGTGTGTATATGTATCAGACTCAACACGATAACATCAACTTAACATCATACAACACTCACCTAGACATTGTTCCCTTCAACCCCATTTCATTTTACTCTGGATGGTTGGCATGTGGGACGAATCTGATGTGCATGCATCAACTAGATCGATGCATGCGACAATTTGGATATGTGCATATCATTCTGAGATCGTCGTTCATGTCTGCTCCTAACAACATCATTCGCAGACACCTTGATGACATATTGGCAGACTACGAAAGTCTTTGGTACCATAAGAGTATCAGAGCATATCAGTCACAAATCAGTGATCTTATGTGGACGATTACATGAATTGGTTCTATAATATCTCACACACTGTCATGACATTTGACGTCCACCTAGACCTGCTCATGAGGAGATCCTGGAGAATGAGCAGGCCAAGGATGGACATAACATTAATAATGTTTTGTCGATTTGTCAAAATACTATGCATATTACATATGAGGGCATAACATTTGGGTTGTTAGAGAGAGGTGGTGATGATGATGTTGACCTAGCACGTTCCATTCTTACCGAGGCACGAAATGCCTTAAGTTACTGGCAGTAGAGAATGAGCCAGGGGATTAGAATTAGGTATACGTAGTAGTTTGTGCTTTTATTTGTATTTTGGGGATTTTTTGTATTATTTTCCATATTTCGAGAATAATATTTGTGATATTTTAGGTTGTTTTTTTAACTACTGCGTTACCTGGTTTTATGGTCGTGTGTGTTACTGTTTGAATCAAATTATGGCAACATTAATCTAATTAAAATGATTTTGAATTCATAAAAAATACAAATTTAAGATAACGTTCGACTTTTCAAAATATTCGAAATAAACTTTTACTGGCATTTTCAAAAAAAATATGGTGCGCAACAAATTTTCCTAATTTTTTAAAAAATTCAAAAATAAAACAAAACGAAATTTAAAAAATATTTTTTTTAAGAATCTAAAAAATAACCATGTAATTATTAGCATTTTTTTAAAATTCGAAACTTATGAAATTGATGGTATGCATATATGTTTTACTTGCAATTTCAAAAATGTTGATAAAAAAAAGCATGTAAGATACCACTTTTTTCAAAAATATCAATAAAAATACATCTAAAAAATTAGATTTTATCTAACATTTTAAAATTACCAATGAAAAAACATAGTTTTCGTGAAAATATGGTGTAAATTCAAATTTGTCATTATATATACACATACATTTAATAGGAAAAACACTTATTTGTAAAAATTTGGTAGAAGCTTCCTAAAATACGATAAACATTTCAAGATTTTCCAAATACTCTAAAAAATAACGTTTTAAATAGTGAATGTACGAAGATATTATGGTAAAAATGCTACTTTTGAGGTGCCATGTATAAAAAAATGGTGTCGATATAAATTCTCCTTAAAAAAGGAATAAAATATATTCTTATCTTTTATCTTTAGATCGTGGTTCCTATTGATCTTGTAATTAATTTGTTCCATTCAATTTTGTTTAAATGATGTTAACAAGATATATCAGTTATTCGATTGATTTAAAAACTCAAAAT